GAGCGTGCCTGGTCCAGGAGCTTGCCTCGTCCAGGAGCTTGCCTGGTCCAAGAGCTTGCCTGGTCCAGGATCTTGCCTGGTCTAGGAGCGTGCCTGGTCTAGAAGCTAGCCTGGTCCAAGAGCTTGCCTGGTACAGAAGCTTTCCTGTTCTAGGAGCGTTCCTGGTCTAGGAGCTTGCCTTGTCCAGGAGCTTGCCTGGTCCTGGAGCGTGCCTGGTCCACGAGTTTGCCTGGTCCAGGAGCTTGCCTGGTCGAGGAGCTTGCCTAGTCTACGAGCTTGCCTGGTCCAGGAGCGTGCGTGGTACAGGAGCTTGCGAAGTCAAGGAGCTTGCAAGGTCCAGGAGCTTGCCTGGTCCAAGAGCTTGCCTCGTCTAGGAACTTGCCTGGTCCAGGAGCGTGCCCGGTCCACGAGCTTGCCCGGTCCAGGAGCTTCCTTGGACCAGGAGCTTGCCTGGTCCAAGAGATTGCCTGGTCCAGGAGCTTGCCTTGTTTAGAAGCTTGCATGGTCCAGGAGCTTGCCAGGTCCAGGAGCTTGCTTGGTCTAGATGCCTGCCTGGTCCAAAAGCTTGCGTGGTCCAGGAGCTTGCCTGGTCCAGGAGCTTGCTTGGTCCAGAAGCGTACCTGGTCCAAGAGCTTGCCTGGTCTAGGAGCGTGCCTGGTCCAAGAGCTTGCATGGTCTAGGAGCTTGCCTCGTCTAGGAGCTTGCCTGGTCAAGGAGAGTGCTTGGTCCACGAGGTTGCCTGTTCCAGGAGCGTGCCTAGGCTAGGAGCGTGCCTGGTCCACGAGCGTGCCTGGTCCAGGAGCTTGCGTGGTCCAAGAGCTTGCCTGGTTAAAGAGCGTGCCTGGTCCAAGAGCTTGCCTGGTCCAGGAGCGTGCCTGGTCCACGAGTGTGCCTGGTCCAGGAGCTTGCTTGGTCCAGGAGCTTGCCTGGTCCAGGAGCCTGCCTGGTCCACGAGCTTGCCTGGTCCACGAGCTTGCGTGGTCCACAAGCTTGCTTGGTCCAGAAGCCTGCCTGGTCCAAGAGCGTGCCTGGTCCACGAGCATGCCTGGTCCAAGAGCTTGCGAGGTCCAGGAGCTTGCCTTGTCCAAGAGCTTGCCTCGTCCAGGAGCTAGCCTGGTCCAGGAGCTTGCCTGGTCTAGGAGCTTGGGTGGTCCAGGAGCTTGCCTGTTCCACGAGCCTGCCTGGTCCAAGAGCTTGCCTGGTCCAGGAGCTTGCCTGGTCCAGAAGCGTGCCTGGTCCAAAAGCTTGCCTGGTCAAGGAGCTTGCCTGGTCCAGGAGCTTGCCTGGTCCAAGAGCTTGCCTGGTCCAGGATCTCCTTGGTTCGGAAGCTTGCCTGATCCAAGAGCTTGCTTGGTCCAGGAGCGTGCCTAGTCCAAGAGATTGCATGGTCCTGGAGCTTGCCAAGTCCAAGTGATTGCCTGGTCCAAGATCGTGCCTGGTCCACGTGCGTGCCTGGTCCAGGAGCTTGCCTGGTCCACGAGCTTGCCTCGTCCAGGAGCTTGTGTGGTCCAGGAGCTTGCCTCGTCTAGGAGCTTGCCTGGTCCAGGAGCTTGCCTGGTCCACGAGCTTGCATGGTCCGCGAGCTTGCCTGGTCCAAGAGCTTCCGTGGTTTAGGAGCTTGCCTGGTCGAGGAGCTTGCCTGGTCCAGGAGCGTGCCTGGTCCAGGAGCTTGCCTGGTCCAGGAGCTTGCCTTGTCTAGGAACTTGCCTGGTCCAGGAGCGTTCCTGGTCCACGAGCTTGCGTGGTCCAGGACCTTCCTTGGACCAGGAGCTTGCCTGGTCCAAGAGATTGCCTGGTCTAGGAGCTTGCCTGGTCCAAGAGATTGCCAGGTCCAGGAGCTTGCTTGGTCTAGATGCGTGCCTGGTCCAAGAGCTTGCCTGGTCCAGGAGCGTGCCTGGTTTAAGAGCTTGCCTGGTCCAGGAGCTTGCTTGGTCCAGGAGCTTGCCTGGTCTCAGAGTGTGCGTGGTCCACGAGCTTGCTTGGTCTAGGAGGTTGCCTGGTCAAGGAGCTTGCATGGTCCAGACGCGTGCCTCGTCCACGAGCTCGCCTGGTCCAGGAGCGTGCCTGGTCCAGGAGCGTGCCTGCTCCACAAGCGTGCCTGGTCTAGGAGCTTGCCTGGTCCAGGAGCATGCCTTGTCCAAGAGTTTGCCTAGTCCAGGAGCTTGCTTGGTCCACGAGCCTGCCTGGTCCAAGAGCTTGCCTGGTCCAGGAGCGTGCCTGGTCCAAGAGCGTGCTTGGTCCAGGAGCTTGCCTGGTCCAGGAGCTTGCCTAGTCCAGGAGCTTGCCTGGTCCACGAGCTTGCATGGTCCGCGAGCTTGCCTGGTCCAAGAGCTTCCGTGGTTTAGGAGCTTGCCTGGTCGAGGAGCTTGCCTGGTCCAGGAGCGTGCCTGGTCCAGGAGCTTGCCTGGTCCAGGAGCTTGCCTCGTCTAGGAACTTGCCTGGTCCAGGAGCGTTCCTGGTCCACGAGCTTGCGTGGTCCAGGACCTTCCTTGGACCAGGAGCTTGCCTGGTCCAAGAGATTGCCTGGTCTAGGAGCTTGCCTGGTCCAAGAGATTGCCAGGTCCAGGAGCTTGCTTGGTCTAGATGCGTGCCTGGTCCAAGAGCTTGCCTGGTCCAGGAGCGTGCCTGGTTTAAGAGCTTGCCTGGTCCAGGAGCTTGCTTGGTCCAGGAGCTTGCCTGGTCTCAGAGTGTGCGTGGTCCACGAGCTTGCTTGGTCTAGGAGGTTGCCTGGTCAAGGAGCTTGCATGGTCCAGACGCGTGCCTCGTCCACGAGCTCGCCTGGTCCAGGAGCGTGCCTGGTCCAGGAGCGTGCCTGCTCCACAAGCGTGCCTGGTCTAGGAGCTTGCCTGGTCCAGGAGCATGCCTTGTCCAAGAGTTTGCCTAGTCCAGGAGCTTGCTTGGTCCACGAGCCTGCCTGGTCCAAGAGCTTGCCTGGTCCAGGAGCGTGCCTGGTCCAAGAGCGTGCTTGGTCCAGGAGCTTGCCTGGTCCAGGAGCTTGCCTAGTCCAGGAGCTTGCCTGGTCCAGGAGCTTGCCTGGTCCAAGAGCTTGCTTGGTCGAGAAGCCTGCTTGGTCCAAGAGCTTGCCTGGTCCAGGAGCCTGCCTGTTCCAAGAGCTTGTGTGGTCCTGGAGCTTGCCTGGTCTAGGAGCTTGCCTGGTCAAAGAGCGTGTCTGGTCCACTAACGTGCCTGGTCCAGAAGCTTGCTTGGTTGAGGAGCTTGCCTTGTCCAGGAGCGTGCCTAGTCCAAGATCTTGCGTGGTCCAGGAGCTTGCCTGGTCCAGGAGCGTGCCTGGTCCACGAGCTTGCTTGGTCCACGAGCTTGCCTGGTCTAGGAGCTTGCCTGGTCCAGGAGCCTGCCTGGTCCACGAGCTTGCCTGTTCTACGAGCTTGCCTGGTCCAAGAGCTTGCGTGGTTTAGGAGCTTGCCTGGTCCAAGAGCTTGCCTGGTCCACGAGCGTGCCTGGTCCATGAGCTTGCCTGGTCCAGGAGTTTTCGTGGTCCAGGACCTTGCCTGGTCTAGGAGCTTGCCTGGTCCAAGAGCGTGCCTGGTTTAGGAGCGTTCCTGGTCCAGGAGCTTGCGTGGTCCATGAGCTTCGCTGGACCAGGATCTTGCGTGGTCTAGGAGCGTGCCTGGTCCACAAGTTTGCCTGGTCCAGGAGCTTGCCTTCTCCAGCAGCTTGCCCGGTCCAGAAGCCTACCTGGTCCAAGAGCTTGCCTGGTCCAGGAGCGTGCCTAGTCCAAGAGCTTGCGTGGTCCAAGAGCTTGCCTGGTCTAGGAGCTTGCCTGGTCCAGGAGTGTGCCTGGTCTAGGAGCCTGCCTGGTCCAGGAGCTTGCCTGGTCCAGGAGCTTGCCTGGTCACGAGCTTGCCCGGTCCACGAGCTTGCCTGGTCCAGGAGCTTGCCTGGTCCAGGAGCTTGCCTGGTCTAGGATCTTGCCTGGTCCATGACCGTGCCTGGTCCAAGAGCTTGCCCGGTCTAGGAGCTTGACTGGTCCAGGAGCGTGCCTGGTCCAGGAGCTTGCCTGGTCCAGGAGCTTGCCTTGTCCAAGAGCTTGTCTGGTCCAGGAGCTTTGCCTGGTCCAGGAGCTTGCCTCTGGTCCAGGACCAGGCAAGCTCCACAATCAGGCAAGCTCCAGGACCAAGGAAGCTCCTGGACCAGGCAATCTCCTAGACGAGGCAAGCTTATGGACTAGGCACTCTCCTGGACCTGACACATTCCAAGACCAGGCACGCTCCTGGACCAGGCCAGCTCCTGAACCAGGCAAGCTCCTTGACGAGGCAAGCTCTTGGACCAGGCAAGCTTGTGGACTAGGCAAGCTCTTGGACCAGGCAAGCTCTTGGACCAAGCAAGCTTGTGGACCAGGCAAGCTCCTTGACCAGGCACGCTCCTAGACGAGGCAAGCTCATGGACTAGGCACGCTCCTGGACAAGACACATTCCAAGAACAGGCACGCTCCAGGACCAGGCCAGCTCTTGGACCGGGCAAGCTCCTTGATGAGGCAAGCTCGTGGACCCGGCATGCACCTGGACCTGACAAGCTCCTGGACCTGGCAAGCTCTTGGACCAGTCAAGCTCCTGGACCAGGCAAGCTCTTGGACCAGGCAAGCTCCTGGACCAGGCAAGCTCCTGGACCAGGCATGCTCCTCGACCAAGGACGCTCCTGGAGCAGACAAGCTGTAGGACGAGGCTAGCTCTTGGACCACGCAAGCTCCTGGACTAGGCACGCTCCTGGTCCAGGCAAGTTCCTGGACCAGGCACGTTCCTGGACCAGGCAAGCTCCAGGACCAGGCAAGCTCCTGGACCACGCAAGCTCATGGACCAGGCGCTTTTTAGCTGCGGGCACGCTTTTGGACCAGGCCAGCTCCTGGACCAGGCAAGCTCCTTCACGAGGCAACCTCCTCGACCAGGCAAGTCTTAGACTTTGGATGCTCCTGGACTAGGCAAGCTCTTGGACCGAGCAAGCTCTTGGACCAGGCAAGCTCTTGGACCAGGCAAGCTTTTGGATCAGGCAAGCTCCTTGTCCAAGCAAGCTCCTAGACCACGCACGCTCCTGGACCAGGAAAGCTCCTGGATAAGGCAAGCTCTTTGACAAGGCAAGCTCCTGGACCAGGTAAGCTCCTGGACCAGGCAAGCTCTTGGACGAGGCAAGCTCCTGGACCAGGCAAGCTCCTAGACAAGGCAAGCTCCTGGACCAGGCAAGCTCCTGGACCAAGCAAGCTCCTGGACCAAGCATGCTCCTGGATCACGCAAGCCCTTGGACAAGGCACGCTACTCGACCAGGCAAGCTCCACATCCACGTCCACGTCCACGTCCACGTCCACCTCCACGTCCACGTCCACGTCCACGTCCACGTCCACGACCATATCCACGTCCACTTTCACGTCCACAACCACGTCCATGTCCACGTCCACGACCACGTCCAGGTCCACGTCCACATCCACGTCCACGTCCACGTCCATGTCCACGTCCAAGTCCTCCACGTCTACTTCCACGTCCACGTCCACGTCCACGTTCATGTTCACGTCCAAGTCCTCCACGTCCACGTCCACGTCCACGTCCACGTCCACGTCAATGTCCACGTCCACGTCCACGTCAACGTCCACGTCCACGACCACGTCCACGTCCACGTCCACGACCACGTCCACGTCCATCTCCACGTCCACGTCCACGACCACGTCCATGTCCACGTCCACGTCCACCTCCACGTCCACGTCCACGTCCACGTCCTCCACGTCTACGTCCACGTCCACGTCCACGTCCACGTCCATGTCCACGTCCAAGTCCCCCACGTCCACGTCCACGTCCACGTCTACGTCCACGTCCATGTTTACGTCCACGTCCACGTCCACGTCCACGTCCATGTCCACGTCCACCTCCACGTCCACGTCCACGTCCACCTCCACGTCCACGTCCACGTCCATGTCCACATCCAAGTCCTCCACGTCCACGTCCACGTCCACGTCCATGTCCACGTCCACATCCACGTCCAAGTCGTCCACGTCCAAGTCCACGTCCATGTCCACGTCCATGTCCACGTCCACGCCCACGTCCACGTTCACACCGACGTCCATGTCCACGTCCACATCCACGTCCACGTCCACGTCCACGTCCTCCACGTCCACGTCCTCCACGTCCATGTCCACGTCTACGTCCACGTCCACGTCCACAACCACGTCCACGTCCATGTCCACGTCCACCTCGACGTCCACGTCCATGTCCACGTCCATGTCCACGTCCACGTCCACGTCCACCTCCACGTCCACGTCCACGTCCATGTCCACGTCCAAGTCGTCCACGTCTACGTCTATGTCCACGTCCACGTCCACGTCCACGTACACGTCCACGTCCACGTCCAAGTCGTCCACGTCCACGTACACGTCCACGTCCATGTCCACGTCCACGTCTACGTCCACGTCCACGTCCACGTCCACGTCCACGTCCACGTCCATGTCCACGTCCACGTCCACGTCCACGTCCACGTCCACGTCCATCTCCACGTCCAAGTCCTCCACGTCCATGTCCACGTCCAGGTCCACGTCCACGTCCATGTCCACGTCCACGTCCACGTCCACGACTACGTCCACGTCCACGTATACGTCCACGTCCACGACAATGTCCACGTCCACGTCCACGTCCACGACAATGTCGACGTCCACGTCCACGTCGACGTCCATGTGCACGTCCACGTCCACGTCCATGTCCATGTCCACGTCCATGTCCACGTCCATGTCCACGTCCATGTCCATGTCCACGTCCACGTCCACGTCCACGTCCACGTCCATGTCCACGTCCACGTCCACGTCCCCGTCCACGTCCAAGTCCTCCACGTCAAAGTCCTCTACGTCCATGTCCACGTCCACGTCCACGTCCACGTCCACGTCCACGTCCATGTCCACGTCCAAGTCCTCCACGTCTACGTCTATGTCCACGTCCACGTCCACGTCCACGTACACGTCCACGTCCACGTCCAAGTCGTCCACGTCCACGTACACGTCAACGTCCACGTCCACGTCTACGTCCACGTCCACGTCCACGTCCATGTCCACGTGCACGTCCACGTCCACGTCCACGTCCACGTCCACGTCCATCTCCACGTCCAAGTCCTCAACGTCCATGTCCACGTCCAGGTCCACGTCCACGTCCACGTCCATGTCCACGTCCACGTCCACGTCCACGTCCACGTCCACGACTACGTCCACGTCCACGTATACGTCCACGTCCACGACAATGTCCACGTCCACGTCCACGTCCACGACAATGTCGACGTCCACGTCCACGTCCACGTCCATGTCCACGTCCACGTCCACGTCCATGTCCATGTCCACGTCCATGTCCACGTCCATGTCCACGTCCATGTCCATGTCCACGTCCACGTCCACGTCCACGTCCACGTCCATGTCCACGTCCACGTCCACGTCCACGTCCACGTCCAAGTCCTCCACGTCAAAGTCCTCTACGTCCATGTCCACGTCCACGTCCACGTCCACGTCCACGTCCATGTCCACGTCCAAGTCCTCCACGTCTACGTCCACGTCCACGTCCACGTCCATTTCCACGTCCACGTCCACGTCCACGTCCACGTCCACGTCCACGTCCAAGTCCTCCACGTCAATGTCCTCTACGTCCATGTCCACGTCCACGTCCACGTCCACGTCCATGTCCACGTCCAAGTCCTCCACGTCTACGTCCACGTCCACGTCCACGTCCCTGTCCACGTCCATGTCCACGTTCACGTCCACGTCCATGTCCACCTCCACGTCCACGTCCATGTCCACGTCCAAGTCCTCCACGTCCACATCCACGTCCATGTCCACGTCCACGTCCACGTCCACGTCCATGTCCACTTCCAAGTCCTCCACGTCCACATCCACGTCCATGTCCACGTCCACGTCGACGTCCATGTCCACGTCCACGTCCACGTCCAAGTCCACGTCCACGACCACGTCCACGTCCACGTCTACGTCCACGTCCACGACAATGTCCACGTTCACGTCCACGTCCACGACAATGTCCACGTCCACGTCCACGTCCACGTCCACGTCCACGTCCACGTCCAGGTCCACGTCCATGTCCACGTCCATGTCCACGTCCATGTCCATGTCCACGTCCCTGTCCATGTCAACGTCCACGTCCACATCCACGTCCACGTCCACGTCGAGGAGCTTGCCTGGTCCAGGAGCTTGCCTGGTCGAGGACGTGGACGTGGACGTGGACGTGGACATGGACGTGGACATGGACGTGGACGTGGACGTGGACGTAGACGTGGATGTGGACGTGGACATGGACGTGGACATGGACGTGGACGTGGACGTGGACGTGGACGTGGACGTGGACTTGGAGGTGGACGTGGACGTGGACGTGGACGTGGACATGGACGTGGTCGTAGACGTGGACGTGGACGTGGTCGTGGATGTGGACGTGGACGTGGACGTGGAGGACGTGGACGTGGACATGGACCTGGACGTGGACGTGGACATAGACATGGACGTGGACGTGGACATGGACATGGATGTGGACGTGGACATGGACGTGGACGTGGACGTGGACGTGGACGTGGACGTGGACGTGGACGTAGACGTGGACATAGATGTGGTCGTGGTCGTGGAAGTGGACGTGGACGTGGTCGTGGACGTGGACGTGGAGGACGTGGACGTGGAGGATGTGGACGTGGAGGACGTGGACGTGGACGTGGACGTGGAGGACGTGGACGTGGACGTAGACGTAGACGTGGTCGTGGACGTGGACGTTGACGTGGACGTGGACGTGGACGTGGTCGTGGATGTGGAGGACTTGGACGTGGTAATGGACGTGGACGTGGACGTGGACATGGTCGAGGACGTGGACATGGACGTGGACGTGGACATGGACGTCGACGTGGACGTGGACTTGGACGTGGACGTGGACATGGACATGGTCGTGGACGTGGACGTGGACATGGAGATGGACGTGGACGTGGACGTGGACGTGGACATGGACGTGGACGTGGACGTGGACGTGGACGTGGACATGGACGTGGACGTGGACATGGACGTGGACGTGGACGTGGACATGGACGTGGACGTGGACATGGACGTGGACGTTGAAGTGGACTTGGACGTGGACATGGACGTGGACGTAGACGTGGACGTGGACGTGGACATGGTCGTGGACGTGGACGTGGACGTGGACGTGGACATGGACATGGATGTGGACGTGGACATGGACGTGGACGTGGACGTGGACGTGAACGTGGACGTGGACATGGTCGTGGACATGGTCGTGGACGTGGACGTGGACGTGGACGTGGACATAGACGTGGACGTGGACATGGACGTGGACGTGGACGTGGAGGTGGACGTGGACGTGGACGTAGACATGGACGTGGACGTGGACATGGACATGGACGTGGAAGTAGACGTGGACGTGGACGTGGACGTGGACGTGGAAGTGGACATGGACGTGGACGTGGACGTGGACGTGGACATGGTCGTGGACGTGGACGTGGACGTGGACGTGGACATGGACATGGACGTGGACGTGGACATGGACGTGGACGTGGACGTGGACGTGGACATGGACATGGACGTGGACGTGGACGTGGACGTGGACATGGACGTGGACGTGGACGTGGACGTGGACATGGACGTGGACGTGGACGTGGACGTGGACGTGGACGTGGACATGGACGTGGACGTGGACGTGGACGTGGACGTGGACGTGGACGTGGACATGGAGGTGGACGTGGACGTGGACGTGGACGTGGACATGGACGTGGACGTGGACATGGACGTGGACGTGGACGTGGACATGGACGTGGACGTGGACATGGACGTGGACGTTGAAGTGGACTTGGACGTGGACATGGACGTGGACGTAGACGTGGACGTGGACGTGGACATGGTCGTGGACGTGGACGTGGACGTGGACGTGGACATGGACATGGATGTGGACGTGGACATGGACGTGGACGTGGACGTGGACGTGAACGTGGACGTGGACATGGTCGTGGACATGGTCGTGGACGTGGACGTGGACGTGGACGTGGACATAGACGTGGACGTGGACATGGACGTGGACGTGGACGTGGAGGTGGACGTGGACGTGGACGTAGACATGGACGTGGACGTGGACATGGACATGGACGTGGAAGTAGACGTGGACGTGGACGTGGACGTGGACGTGGAAGTGGACATGGACGTGGACGTGGACGTGGACGTGGACATGGTCGTGGACGTGGACGTGGACGTGGACGTGGACATGGACATGGACGTGGACGTGGACATGGACGTGGACGTGGACGTGGACGTGGACATGGACATGGACGTGGACGTGGACGTGGACGTGGACATGGACGTGGACGTGGACGTGGACGTGGACATGGACGTGGACGTGGACGTGGACGTGGACGTGGACGTGGACATGGACGTGGACGTGGACGTGGACGTGGACGTGGACGTGGACGTGGACATGGAGGTGGACGTGGACGTGGACGTGGAGGTGGACATGGACGTGGTCGTGGACGTGGACGTGGACGTGGTCGTGGATGTGGACGTGGACGTGGACGTGGAGGACGTGGACGTGGAGGACGTGGACGTGGACGTGGAGGATGTGGACGTGGACGTGGACGTGGTCGTGGACATGGACGTTGACGTGGACGTGGACGTGGACGTGGTCGTGGACGTGGAGGACTTGTACGTGGACATGGATGTGGACGTGGACATGGACGTGGACGTGGACATGGACGTGGACGTGGACGTGGACTTGGACGTGGACATGGACGTGGACGTGGACGTGGACGTGGACATGGACGTGGACGTGGACATGGACATGGACGTGGAATTGGACGTGGACGTGGACGTGGACTTGGACGTGGACATGGACGTGGACGTAGACGTGGACGTGGACGTGGACATGGTCGTGGACGTGGACGTGGACGTGGACGTGGACATGGACATGGATGTGGACGTGGACATGGACGTGGACGTGGACGTGAACGTGAACGTGGACGTGGACATGGTCGTGGACATGGTCGTGGACGTGGACGTGGACGTGGACGTGGACGTGGACGTGGACATGGAGGTGGAATTGGACGTGGACATGGACGTGGACATGGACGTGGACGTGGACGTGGACGTAGACGTGGATGTGGACGTGGACATGGACGTGGACATGGACGTGGACGTGGACGTGGACGTGGACGTGGACGTGGACGTGGACTTGGAGGTGGACGTGGACGTGGACGTGGACGTGGACATGGACGTGGTCGTAGACGTGGACGTGGACGTGGTCGTGGATGTGGACGTGGACGTGGACGTGGAGGACGTGGACGTGGACATGGACCTGGACGTGGACGTGGACATAGACATGGACGTGGACGTGGACATGGACATGGATGTGGACGTGGACATGGACGTGGACGTGGACGTGGACGTGGACGTGGACGTGGACGTGGACGTAGACGTGGACATAGATGTGGTCGTGGTCGTGGAAGTGGACGTGGACGTGGTCGTGGACGTGGACGTGGAGGACGTGGACGTGGAGGACGTGGACGTGGAGGACGTGGACGTGGACGTGGACGTGGAGGACGTGGACGTGGACGTAGACGTAGACGTGGTCGTGGACGTGGACGTTGACGTGGACGTGGACGTGGACGTGGTCGTGGATGTGGAGGACTTGGACGTGGTAATGGACGTGGACGTGGACGTGGACATGGTCGAGGACGTGGACATGGACGTGGACGTGGACATGGACGTCGACGTGGACGTGGACTTGGACGTGGACGTGGACATGGACATGGTCGTGGACGTGGACGTGGACATGGAGATGGACGTGGACGTGGACGTGGACGTGGACATGGACGTGGACGTGGACGTGGACGTGGACGTGGACATGGACGTGGACGTGGACATGGACGTGGACGTGGACGTGGACATGGACGTGGACGTGGACATGGACGTGGACGTTGAAGTGGACTTGGACGTGGACATGGACGTGGACGTAGACGTGGACGTGGACGTGGACATGGTCGTGGACGTGGACGTGGACGTGGACGTGGACATGGACATGGATGTGGACGTGGACATGGACGTGGACGTGGACGTGGACGTGAACGTGGACGTGGACATGGTCGTGGACATGGTCGTGGACGTGGACGTGGACGTGGACGTGGACATAGACGTGGACGTGGACATGGACGTGGACGTGGACGTGGAGGTGGACGTGGACGTGGACGTAGACATGGACGTGGACGTGGACATGGACATGGACGTGGAAGTAGACGTGGACGTGGACGTGGACGTGGACGTGGAAGTGGACATGGACGTGGACGTGGACGTGGACGTGGACATGGTCGTGGACGTGGACGTGGACGTGGACGTGGACATGGACATGGACGTGGACGTGGACATGGACGTGGACGTGGACGTGGACGTGGACATGGACATGGACGTGGACGTGGACGTGGACGTGGACATGGACGTGGACGTGGACGTGGACGTGGACATGGACGTGGACGTGGACGTGGACGTGGACGTGGACGTGGACATGGACGTGGACGTGGACGTGGACGTGGACGTGGACGTGGACGTGGACATGGAGGTGGACGTGGACGTGGACGTGGAGGTGGACATGGACGTGGTCGTGGACGTGGACGTGGACGTGGTCGTGGATGTGGACGTGGACGTGGACGTGGAGGACGTGGACGTGGAGGACGTGGACGTGGACGTGGAGGATGTGGACGTGGACGTGGACGTGGTCGTGGACATGGACGTTGACGTGGACGTGGACGTGGACGTGGTCGTGGACGTGGAGGACTTGTACGTGGACATGGATGTGGACGTGGACATGGACGTGGACGTGGACATGGACGTGGACGTGGACGTGGACTTGGACGTGGACATGGACGTGGACGTGGACGTGGACGTGGACATGGACGTGGACGTGGACATGGACATGGACGTGGAATTGGACGTGGACGTGGACGTGGACTTGGACGTGGACATGGACGTGGACGTAGACGTGGACGTGGACGTGGACATGGTCGTGGACGTGGACGTGGACGTGGACGTGGACATGGACATGGATGTGGACGTGGACATGGACGTGGACGTGGACGTGAACGTGAACGTGGACGTGGACATGGTCGTGGACATGGTCGTGGACGTGGACGTGGACGTGGACGTGGACGTGGACATGGAGGTGGAATTGGACGTGGACATGGTCGTGGACGTGGACGTGGACGTGGACGTGGACGTGGACGTGGACATGGAGGTGGACGTGGACGTGGAGGTGGACGTGGACGTGGACGTGGACGTGGACGTGGACGTAGACATGGACGTGGAAGTGGACGTGGAAGTGGACGTGGACGTGGACGTGGACGTGGACGTGGACATGGACATGGACGTGGACGTGGACGTGGACGTGGACGTGGACATGGACATGGACGTGGACGTGGACATGGACGTGGACGTGGACGTGGACATGGACGTAGACATGGACGTGGACATGGACGTGGACGTGGACGTGGACGTGGACATGGACGTGGACGTGGACGTGGACGTGGACGTGGACATGGACGTGGACGTGGACGTGGACGTGGACGTGGACGTGGACATGGACGTGGACATGGACGTGGACGTGGACGTGGACGTGGACGTGGACATGGACGTGGACGTGGACGTGGAGGTGGACGTGGAGGTGGACATGGACGTGGACATGGACGTGGTCGTGGACATGGAGGTGGACATGGAAGTTGACGTGGACGTGGACATGGACGTGGTTGTAGACGTGGACGTGGTCGTGGATGTGGACGTGGACGTGGACGTGGATGACGTGGACGTGGACATAGACATGGACGTGGACGTGGACATGGACATGGACAAGGACGTGGACGAGGACGTGGACGTGGACGTGGACGTGGACATGGACGTGGACGTGGACATGGACGTGGACGTGGACGTGGACGTGGACATGGACGTGGACGTGGACGTGGACGTGGACGTGGACATAGATGTGGTCGTGGTCGTGGACGTGGACGTGGACGTGGTCGTGGACGTGGACGTGGACGTGGAGGACGTGGACGTGGAGGACGTGGACGACAGATGTGGAGGACGTGGACGTGGACGTAGACGTGGTCGTGGACGTGGAGATTGACGTGGACGTGGACGTGGACGTGGTCGTGGATGTGGAGGACTTGGACGTGGTAATGGACGTGGACGTGGACGTGGACGTGGACATGGTCGTGGACGTGGACGTGGACGTGGACGTGGACATAGACGTGGACATGGACGTGGACCTAGACGTGGACATGGACATGGACATGGACTTGGACGTGGATGTGGACGTGGACATGGTCGTGGACGTGGACGTGGACAAAGACATGGACATGGACGTGGACGTGGACATGGACGTGGACGTGGACATGGACGTGGACGTGGACATGGACGTGGACGTGGACATAGACGTGGACATGGACGTGGACCTAGACGTGGACATGGACATGGACATGGACTTGGACGTGGATGTGGACGTGGACATGGTCGTGGTCGTGGACGTGGACGTGGACATGGACGTGGACGTGGACGTGGACGTGGACGTGGACATGGACGTGGACGTGGACATGGACGTGGAGGTGGACGTGGACATGGACGTGGACGTGGACATGGACGTGGACGTGGACTTGGACGTGGACGTGGACGTGGACGTGGACATGGACATGGACGTGGACGTGGACGTGGACGTGGACATGGACGTGGACGTGGACATGGACGTGGACGTGGACGTGGACATGGACGTGGACGTGGACATGGACGTGGACGTGGACTTGGACGTGGACATGGACGTGGACGTGGACGTGGACGTGGACATGGTGGTGGACGTGGACGTGGACGTCGACGTGGACATGGACATGGACGTGGACGTGGACATGGACGTGGACGTGGACATGGACGTGAACGTGGACGTGGACTGGTCGTGGACATGGTCGTGGACGTGGACGTGGACGTGGACGTGGACGTGGACGTGGACGTGGAGGTGGAGGTGGACGTGGACGTGGACGTGGACATGGACGTGGACGTGGACGTGGACGTGGACATGGACGTGGAAGTGGACGTGGACGTGGACATAGACGTGGACGTGGACGTGGACGTGGACATGGACGTGGACGTAGACATGGGGGTGGACGTGGACGTGGACGTGGACGTGGACATGGACGTGGTCGTGGACGTGGATGTGGACGTGGTCGTGGATGTGGACGTGGACGTGGACGTGGAGGACGTGGACGTGGAGGACGTGGACGTGGACGTGGAGGACGTGGACGTGGACGTGGACGTGGTCGTGGACGTGGACGTGGTCGTGGACGTGGAGGACTTGGACGTGGACATGGACGTGGACGTGGACATGGACGTGGACGTGGACGTGGACGTGGACATGGTCGTGGACGTGGACGTGGATATGGACATGGACGTGGACGTAGACGTGGACGTGGACGTGGACATGGACGTCGACGTGGACGTGGACGTGGACGTGGACATGGGCGTGGACGTGGACATGGACGTGGACGTGGACGTGGACATGGACGTGAACGTGGACATGGACGTGGACGTGGACGTGGACTTGGACGTGGACGTGGACGTGGACGTGGACGTGGACATAGTCGTGGACGTGGACGTGGACGTGGACGTGGACGTGGACATGGACGTGGATGTGGACGTGGACGTGGACATGGTCGTCGACGTGGACGTGGACGTGGACGTGGACATGGACATGGACGTGGACGTGGACATGGACGTGGACGTGGACGTGGACATGGACGTGGACATGGACGTGGACGTGGACATGGACAAGGACGTGGACGTGGACGTGGACATGGACGTGAACGTGGACGTGGACGTGGACGTGGAGGTGGACGTGGACATGGTCGTGGACGTGGACGTGGACGTGGACGTGGACATGGACGTGGACGTGGACGTGGACGTGGACGTGGACGTGGACGTGGACGTGGACATGGACGTGGACGTGGACGTGGACGTGGACGTTGACGTGGACGTGGAGGACTTGGACGTGGACATGGACGTGGACGTGGACGTGGACACGGACCTGGACATGGTCGTCGACGTGGACATGGACGTGAACGTGGACATGGACGTGGACGTGGACGTGGACGTGGATTTGGACGTGAACATGGACGTGAACGTGGACGTGGACGTGGATGTGGACGTGGACGTGGACATGGTCGTGGATGTGGACGTGGACGTGGACGTGGACGTGGACATAAACATGGACGTCGACGTGGAGGTGGACGTGGCCATGGACGTGGACGTGGACGTGGACGTGGACATGGACGTGGACGTGGACGTGGACGTGGACGTGAACGTGGACGTGGACATGGTCGTGGACGTGGACGTGGACGTGGACGTGGACGTGGACATGGACGTGGACGTGGACCTGGACGTGGACGTGGACATGGACCTGGACGTGGACGTGGACGTGGACGTGGACATGGACGTGGACGTGGACGTGGACGTGGACGTGGACGTGGACATGGACGTGGACGTGGACGTGGACGTGGACGTTGACGTGGACGTGGACATGGACGTGGACGTGGACATGCACGTGGACGTGGACGTGGACGTGGGCGTGGACGTGGACATGGACATGGACGTGGACGTGGACGTGGACATGGACGTGGACGTGGACGTGGACATGGACGTGGACGTGGACGTGGACGTGGACATGGACGTCGACGTGGACATGGACGTGGACGTGGACGTGGACATGGTCGTGGACATGGACATGGACGTGGACGTGGACGTGAACGTGGACGTGGACATGGTCGTGGACATGGTCGTGCACGTGGACGTGGACCTGGACGTGGACGTGGACGTGGACGTGGACGTGCATGGACATGGACGTGGACGTGGACGTGGAGGTGGAAGTGGACGTGGACATGGACGTGGACGTGGACGTGGACGTGGACGTGGACGTGGTCGTGGTCGTGGACGTGGACGTGGACGTGGACTTGGACGTGGACGTGGACGTGAACGTGGACATGGACGTGGACGTGGACGTGGACGTGGACGTGGACGTGGACGTGGACATGGACGTGGACGTGGAGGTGGACGTGGTCGTGGTCTTGGACGTGGACGTGGACGTGGACGTGGACGTGGACGTGGACGTGGACGTGGACGTGGACGTGGACGTGGACGTGGACGTGAACGTGGAGGTGGACGTGGACGTGAACGTGGACGTGGACGTGGACGTGGACGTGGACGTGGACATAAACGTGGACGTGGACGTGGACGTGGAGGTGGACGTGGCCATGGACGTGGACGTGGACGTGGACGTGGACGTGGACGTGGACATGGACGTGGACGTGGACGTGGACGTGGACGTGAACGTGGACGTGGACATGGTCGTGGACGTGGACGTGGACGTGGACATGGACGTGGACGTGGACCTGGACGTGGACGTGGACATGGACGTGGACGTGGACGTGGACGTGGACGTGGACATGGACGTGGACGTGGACGTGGACGTGGACGTGGACATGGACGTGGACGTGGACGTGGACGTGGACATGCACGTGGACGTGGACGTGGACGTGGGCGTGGACATGAACGTGGACATGGACGTGGACGTGGACGTGGACGTGGACGTGTGGACGTGGACGTGGACGTGGACATGGACGTGGACGTGGACGTGGACGTGGACATGGACGTGGACGTGGACATGGACGTGGACGTGGACGTGGACATGGTCGTGGACATGGACATGGACGTGGACGTGGACGTGGACGTGGACATGGTCGTCGACGTGGACGTGGACGTGGACGTGGACATGGACATGGACGTGGACGTGGACATGGACGTGGACGTGGACGTGGACATGGACGTGGACATGGACGTGGACGTGGACATGGACGAGGACGTGGACGTGGACGTGGACATGGACGTGAACGTGGACGTGGACGTGGACGTGGAGGTGGACGTGGACATGGTCGTGGACGTGGACGTGGACGTGGACGTGGACATGGACGTGGACGTGGACGTGGACGTGGACGTGGACGTGGACGTGGACATAGACATGGACGTGGACGTGGACGTGGACGTTGACGTGGACGTGGAGGACTTGGACGTGGACATGGACGTGGACGTGGACGTGGACACGGACGTGGACATGGTCGTGGACGTGGACATGGACGTGAACGTGGACATGGACGTGGACGTAGACGTGGACGTGGACGTGGATTTGGACGTGAACATGGACGTGAACGTGGACGTGGACGTGGATGTGGACGTGGACGTGGACATGGTCGTGGATGTGGACGTGGACGTGGACGTGGACGTGGACATAAACATGGACGTCGACGTGGAGGTGGACGTGGCCATGGACGTGGACGTGGACGTGGACGTGGACATGGACGTGGACGTGGACGTGGACGTGGACGTGAACGTGGACGTGGACATGGTCGTGGACGAGGACGTGGACGTGGACGTGGACATGGACGTGGACGTGGACCTGGACGTGGACGTGGACATGGACCTGGACGTGGACGTGGACGTGGACGTGGACGTGGACATGGACGTGGACGTGGCCATGGACGTGGACGTGGACGTGGACGTGGACGTGGACCTGGACGTGGACGTGGCCATGGACGTGGACGTGGACGTGGACGTGGACGTGGACGTGGACGTGGACGTGGACGTGGACGTTGACGTGGACGTGGACATGGACGTGGACGTGGACGTGGACATGCACGTGGACGTGGACGTGGACGTGGGCGTGGACGTGGACATGGACATGGACGTGGACGTGGACGTGGACATGGACGTGGACGTGGACGTGGACATGGACGTGGACGTGGACGTGGACGTGGACATGGACGTCGACGTGGACATGGACGTGGACGTGGACGTGGACATGGTCGTGGACATGGACATGGACGTGGACGTGGACGTGAACGTGGACGTGGACATGGTCGTGGACATGGTCGTGCACGTGGACGTGGACCTGGACGTGGACGTGGACGTGGACGTGGACGTGGACGTGGACGTGCGTGGACATGGACGTGCACGTGGTCGTGGAGGTGGACGTGGACGTGGACATGGACGTGGACGTGGACATGGACGTGGACGTGGACGTGGACGTGGTCGTGGTCGTGGACGTGCACGTGGACGTGGACTTGGACGTGGACGTGGACGTGGACGTGGACGTGGACGTGGACGTGGACATGGACGTGGACGTGGAGGTGGACGTGGTCGTGGACGTGGACGTGGACGTGGACATGGTCTTGGACGTGGACGTGGACGTGGACGTGGACGTGGACGTGGACATGGACGTGGACGTGGACGTGGACGTGGACGTGGACGTGGACGTGGACATGGACGTGGACGTGGACGTGGACATGGACGTGGACGTGGACGTGGACGTGGAGGACTTGGACGTGGACGTGAACGTGGACGTGGACGTGGACGTGGACATGGACGTGGACGTGGACGTGGACGTGGACGTGGACGTGGACATAAACGTGGACGTGGACGTGGACGTGGAGGTGGACGTGGCCATGGACGTGGACGTGGACGTGGACGTGGACGTGGACGTGGACATGGACGTGGACGTGGACGTGGACGTGGACGTGGACGTGAACGTGGACGTGGACATGGTCGTGGACGTGGACGTGGACGTGGACGTGGACGTGGACCTGGACGTGGACGTGGACGTGGACGTGGACGTGGACGTCGACGTGGACATGGACGTGGACGTGGACGTGGACGTTGACGTGGACGTGGACATGGACGTGGACGTGGACGTGGACATGCACGTGGACGTGGACGTGGACGTGGGCGAGGACATGGACGTGGACATGGACGTGGACGTGGACGTGGACGTGGACGTGGACGTGTGGACGTGGACGTGGACGTGGACATGGACGTGGACGTGGACGTGGACGTGGACATGGACGTCGACGTGGACATGGACGTGGACGTGGACGTGGACATGGTCGTGGACATGGACATAGACGTGGACGTGGACGTGAACGTGGACCTGGACATGGTCGTGGACATGGACGTGGACGTGGACGTGGACGTGGACGTGGACATGGACGTGGACGTGGACATGGACGTGGACGTGGACGTCGACATGGACGTGGACGTAGACATGGATGTGGACGTGGACGTGGACGTGGACGTGGAGGACGTGGAGCGTTGCAATGCTGTTGTCGGACACCCTGGAGCGTTGCAATGCTCTTGCCGGACACCCCGGAGCGCTGCAATGCTCTTGCCGACCACCCTGGAGCGTTGCAATGCTCTTTCCGACCACCTAGGAGCGTTGCAATGCTCTTGCCAGACACCCCGGAGAGTTGCAATGCCCTTGCACGACACCCCGGAGCATTGCAATGCTCTTGCTTGACAACCTAGAGCATTGTAGTGCTCTTGCTGGTCACCTCGAAGTGTTGCAGCGCACTTGCCGGACACCCCGGACCGTTGCAATGCTCGTGCCGACCACCGTGGAGCGTTGCAATGCTCTTGCCGGCCACCCTGGAGCATTGCAATGCTCTTGCCGACCACCCTGGAGCATTGCAATGCTCTTGCTGGCCACCCTAGGGCGTTGCAAAGCTCTAGCCGGACACCCTCGAGCGTTGCACTGCACTCGCCGGAAACCCTAGAGCGTTGCAATGCTCTTGGTGGACACCCTGGAGCGTTGCAATGCTCTTGCCGGACACCCTGGAGCGTTGCAATTCTCTTGCCGAACATCCCAGAGCGCTGCAGTGCACTTGCCGGACACCCCGGAACATTGCAATGCTCTTGGCGGACACCCTGGTACGTTGCAGTGCTCTTGTTGGACACCCTTGAGCGTTGCAATGCTCTTGCCGGACACCCCGGAGCGTTGCAGTGCATTTGCTGGACACCCCGTAGCATTGCAATGCTCTTGCCGGACACCCTGGAGCGTTGCAATTGCCGGACACCCTGGAGCGTTGCGATGCTCTCGCTGGACACCCCGGAGCGTTGCAATGCACTTGCCGGACATCCTGGAGCGTTGCAATGTTCTTGCTGTGTTGAGTGATGCTACCATTCGCATTCACGTGTGTCTGCCTCCCATCATATGTTCGTGCGTTGCATGCGTGTTGTGAGTGTGTGCAAGAATTTGTGTTTTGTGCGGTTTGGATTTTCTGAGTGTGTGTGAATGTTATTTGGCTTGAGCAGATATCTGAAGTGACTCCACTGCTCAAGAGCTTTCCCACGAACCAAGAATCACTTCAATCGGAGCACGAACAAGAAAGTTACGAACGTTGGAGTTCGTATGCTCTTGATATTTGGTTGTGGTGACCATGGAGAGTTGTGGGGTTGACTCAATATGGGGTACAGACTTTTGGGGGTTGGGAAATTCGTCACTACTACTGTAGTTGCTGCCATTTGGTTGGGAGAAACCAAACCAGGTTGGCAAGTGTGGCCAAGTTGGGTTGAGGTGGATTGTGGAGGTTGGGATAGTGACAAAGGTCAAAGTTGGGTTGCCTATGGGGAAGGGAATTGTGTGGCATGGAGTTTTCTTTGGTTGGGGACTCCTTGGGACCTTCCCTCTCGTCCTCCTCTTTCCTCTCACCTGGTTTAGTGCTACTCAAACTCTCTTGTGTGCAACTCTTGTGAACTTGTGAAACTATTGTGAGTGAATTTAATTTCTATGTGGCAGCATACCCCCTGGTGCGCCGTAAAGCATAACTCGAGATTTACTCCACCTTTCGATACGATTCAAATTGGGAATGATAGCCACGAACAAGGGCTATAACATACAAACAAACCCTAGACGATTCTAACGGTGCACTTTTCGTCGACAACGTTTCTTGTGAAGTCGCGGTTTCTGTCCAAAATTTCAAGCCAACGATTTTGAGAAATTTAAGCTCCTAATCTTCATAGACTCGATCCTTAGTCTCTAACATGCTGGACACCCCGGAGCATTGCTGTGCTCTTGCCGGACACCCCGGAGCATTGCAATGCTCTTGCTAGACACCCTTGAGTGTTGCAGTGCACCTGTCGGAAACCCATGAGCGTTGCAGTGCACTTGCCGGACACCCCTGAGCATTACTATGCTCTTAACGGACACCCTGTAGCCATGCAATGCTCCTGCCGGACACCCCGGATCGTTGCAAAGTGCTTGCCGGACACCTCGGAGCGTTGCACTGCTCTTGCCAACACCCCGAAGCGTTGCAATGCTCTTGTGGGACACCCTGGAGTGTTGCAATGCGCTTGTCGGACACCCTGTAGCATTGCAATGCTCTAGGGTGTCTAGCACGAGCATTGCCATGCTCCAGGGTGTTTGGCAAGAGCATTGCAACGCTCCAGGGTGGTCGGCAAGAGCATTGCAATGCTGCGGGGTGTCCGGCAAGAGCATTGCAACGCTCCAGGGTGTCTGGCAAGAGCATTGCAACGCTCCAGGGTGTCCCCCAAGAGCATTGCAACCCTTCAGGGTGTTTGTAAGAGCAGTGCAACGCTATGAGGTGTCCGGCAAGCACTTTGCAAGGATCCATGGTGTCCGGCAAGATCATTGCAACGCTCGAGGGTGTTTGGCAAGAGCATTGCAACGCTCTAGGGTGTCTGGCAAGAGTGTTGCAACACTCCGGGGTGTCGGCAAGAGCAGTGCAACGCTCTGTGGTGTCCGGCAAGTGCACTGCAACGCTCCAGGGGTGTCCGGCAAGAGCATCGCAACACTCCCAGGAGGTCGGCAAGAGCATTGCAATGCTCCAGGGTGGTCAGCAAGAGCATTGCAGCGCCCTGGGGTGTCCGGCAAGCACTTAGCAATGATCCAGGGTGTCTTACAAGAGCATTGCAACGCTCCAGGGTGTTTAGCAAGAGCATTGCAATGCTCTAGGGTGTCCGGCAAGAGCGTTGCAACACTCCGGGGAGTCCGGCAAGAGCACTGCAACGCTCCCGGGTGTCTGGCAAGTGCACTCCAACGATTCAGGGTGTATGGCAAGAGCATTGTAACGCTACAGGGTGTCTGACAAGAGCATTGCAATGCTCAGGGGTGTCCGGCAAGTGCACTGCAACGCTCATGGGTGTCTGGCAAGAGCACTACAACGCTACAGGGTGTCCAGCAAGAGCATTGCAACGCTCCGGGGTGTCCGGCAAGAGCATTGCAACGCTCCGGGGTGTCCAGCTAGAGCATTGCAACGCTCCAGGGTGTCTGGCAAGAGCATTGCTACGCTACGGGGTGTCCGGCAAATGCACTGCAACGCTCCGGGGTGTCCAGCAAGAGCAGTGTAATGCTCCTAGGTGTCCGGCAAGAGCATTGCAACGATCCAGGGTGTCCGCCAAGAGCATTGCAACGCTCCAGGGTGTCCGGCAAAAGAATTGCAACACTCCAAGGTGTCCCGAAAGAGCATTGCAACGCTCCAGGGTGTCTGGCAAAAGCATTACAACGCTCCAGGGTTTCCGGCAAGTGCATTGGAACGCTCCAAGGTGTCCGGCAAGAGCTTTGCAATGCTCTAGGGTGGCCGGCAAAAGCATTGCAACGCTCCAAGGTGGTTGGCAAGAGTATTGCAACGCTCCAGGGTGTCCGGCAAGAGTTTTGCAATGCTCCAGGGTGTCTGGCAAGAGCACTACAACGCTCCAGGGTGGCAGGCAAGAGCATTGCAACGCTCCGGGGTGTCCGGCAAGAGCATTGCAATGCTCTTGGGTGGTCGGCAAGAGCATTGCAACGCTTCGAGGTGGTCGGAAAAAGCATGGCAGCACTCCAGGGTGTCTAGCAATAGCATTCTAACGCTCTAGGGTGTCAGGCAGGAGCATTGCAATGCTTCGGGGTGTCGTGCAAGAGCATTGCAATGCTCTAGGGTGTCTGGCAAGAGCATTGCAACGCTTCAGGGGGGCCGGCAAGAGCATTGCAACGCTCCAGGGTGGTCGGCAAGAGCATTGCACCACTGTGGGGTGTCCAACAAGTGCACTGCAATGCTCTGGGGGATCCGGCGAGAGCACTGCAATGCTCTGGGGTGTCTGCTAAGAGCATTGCAATGCTCCAGGGTGGCCGGCAAGAGCACTGCAATGCTCGGGGGTGGCCGGCAAGTGCACTGCAATGCTCTTGGGTGTCTGGCAAGAGCATTGCAATGCTCCGGGGTGTCCGGCAAGAGCATTGCAACACTCTCGGGTGCTCGGCAAGAGCATTGCAATGCTCTAGGGTGGTCGGCAAGAGCATTGCAGCGCTCCAGGGTGTCCGCCAAGAGCCTTGCAACGCTCCAAGGTGTCCGGCAGGAGCATTGCAACGCTCCGGGGTGTCCGGCAAGAGCATTGCAACGCTCCGGGGTGTCCGGCAAGAGCACTGCAATGCTCTGGGGTGTCCGCCAAGAGCACTGCAATGCTCTGGGGTATCTGCCAAGAGCATTGCAACGCTCCAGGGTGGTCGGCAAGAGCATTGCAACGCTGCGGGGTGTCCGGCAAGAGCATTGCAACGCTCCAGGGTGTCCGGCAAGAGCATTGCAACGCTCCAGGGTGTCCCGCAAGAGCATTGCAACCCTTCAGGGTGACTGTAAGAGCAGTGCAACGCTCCGAGGTGTCCGGCAAGCACTTTGCAACGATCCATGGTGTCCGGCAAGATCATTGCAACGCTCGAGGGTGTTTGGCAAGATCATTGCAACGCTCTAGGGTGTCCGGCAAGAGCGTTGCAACATTCCGGGGTGTCCGGCAAGAGCAGTGCAACGCTCTATGGTGTCCGGCAAGTGCACTGCAACGCTCCAGGGGTGTCCGGCAAGAGCTTTGCAACACTCCCGGGTGGTCGGCAAGAGCATTGCAATGCCCTAGGGTGGTCGGCAAAAGCATTGCAGCGCCCTGGGGTGTCAGGCAAGCACTTTGCAACGATCTGGGGTGTCTTGCAAGAGCATTGCAACGCTCTAGGGTGTTTAGCAAGAGCATTGCAACGCTCTAGGGTGTCCGGCAAGAGTGTTGCAACACCCCGGGGTGTCCGGCAAGAGCAGCGCAACGCTCCCGGGTGTCTGGCAAGTGCACTCCAACGCTTCAAGGTGTTTGGCAAGAGCATTGCAACGCTGCAGGGTGTCCGACAAGAGCATTGCAATGCTCAGGGGTGTTCGGCAAGTGCACTAGAACGCTCATGGGTGTCCGGCAAGAGCACTGCAACTCTCCAGGGTGTCTAGCTAGAGCATTGCAACGCTCCAGGGTGTCTGGCAAGAGCATTGCTATGCTACGGGGTGTCCGGCAAATGCAGTGCAACGCTCCGGGGTGTCCGGCAAGAGCACTGCAATGCTCCTGGGTGTCCAGCAAGAGCATTGCAACACTCCAAGGTGTCCCGAAAAAGCATTGCAACGCTCCAGGGTGTCCAGCAAGAGCACTGCAACGCTCCGGGGTTTCCGGCAAGTGCACTGCAACGCTCCAAGGTGTTCGGCTAGAGCTTTGCAATGCTCTAGGGTG